ATCACTCCCTACAGCATTCTAGGCGGGGGAGCAGAGGCTAGCCCCTGAAGTGTCTACCAGGGCTGATTGCTGCCTTCTAGACCTGGTTCTGGCAACTACCTCTAAGTGAGAGACTTTGGTCTCCCCTGGTCTTTTCCTGGTGGCCCGGCGTGCTCACCTGGTCTTTTACTGGTGGTCTCCATGTGGTGCATACTTCTAGAACATAGCTCTGCACCCTTTTAGAAAACCCTGGGAGGGGAGTAGAAAGACGGCATGTCTATTCATCCTTCCAGTATTGCAGTCCTAGCCATCCAGTGGAGACTTTGGGGGCACAGGGCAGGGAGAGCAACCAAACACTGGACTGGCTTTATAAAGATGCTTGGGCTGGAGCGAGGGCAAGAGCAGGGATGGCCAGGCATCAGAGGGAAGTGGGTTCCCTGGTGGGCACGAGGGGATGTGAGGTCTGTGGAGAACCTCGGAAAGGCCAGCTTGTCCACACTAGCGCCTACCAGACATGCAAGGATACTAGGGGGAGTCACAGCTAGCTACTGGTGCGATTGAGGACCAACAGAGAAATTTAAGACTGGCTTTTCCCATCCAAGAAAGTGAGAAGTAAGTATTGGATTATCTGAGCTAGGCGTGGACTCACAGACAGGCCGAGCTGTGTTGCAGTGAATAATCAGATAATGAAAATTTGGAGTAGTAGTCCAGCTAGAGAAAATAAGAACAAGCTGAGAAGTCAGTCTCCAAGGCCTAGTGCAGGGTAGAGTCTGTCGCTTCTGTGGAATCACAGGGACACCTGTTCCCTAATGACTTGCTTGCCCACCCCTGCTCCCAGCTGGCTCTCCACCAGCCTTCCCGATACCCTGGTATGGACTGGGGTATCCTGCACCTCTCTGGTTTTTCAGGCACCCACAGCCTGGCCTTTAGAGATGGCACTGGTTCTGGCAGGGTCCCGTTCTATGCTTTGCCTTTCTTTGCCTCCAAGACTCACTGATTCTCCTGCGGTGGCAGCCGGGTAGGTTTCTGCGGTATGTTTCCCTGTTTCTCAGGTCTTCCATCCCCCACTTTAACATTGCGGATGGCACCTAGGTCAGTCAGAGCCAGCCAGGCCTGACACCTCGTCTTTTAGCTGAAGAGAAGCAATGTAAATGAACAGAAAGACACACCCGGCACAGAGTTTGTTTTTGATTTCCTCCCTTGGTCTCAAAATGAATCTTGGTCCTGGGGCTTAGTTAGTATTCCTAGGAATGCTATCTGGAGACAGATGCCTGGGGAACAAAATCTGAGCTCCTGAGGGTCCTGGCTTTGCCCTCGGCTGGCAAGTCTGGATCTCAGTTCCTTACCAAGGGGGCGGGGGTAGCTAGACAGAGGCAAGGAGAGTGCCTCTAATATTATAACTTTTCTGACTTCACCTCCCGTCATCCTTCCCCTAGCCTGTGTCTGTCTCAATTCAGGCAGCAGGGACACCAGTCTCCCCTCCCCAACACCCCGGGTTTCCAGAGAAGCTTAGACACAGGTCTAAGTCAGGGTAGAATCAAGTCCCAGTTAGAGAATGCACAGCTTCTACTGGCGTTGAACACTGGGCTCCGTTTCAGTGCTGAAGAAACCAGGCTCAGAGATTAGGTAATAGGTTCAAGTTACACAGCTGGGAAAAGACACATCTAGGCATCAAATCTAGGCTATGGAAGTCTGGGTGGGAAATAAAACACAAACAAAAAAGATACCCCCCCCAAAAAAAAACCCAGTTCACTTGAAGCAGCAAGAGGAAATTGGCTTCCCTGAGCTGTCCTAAGATCTTCCAGCACGAATGGGCAAAGCTAGTTGTTACACTCAGGCACCCCAGGGAGAAGCGGGCTAAGAGCACCAGGGAACCTGAGGAGCAGAGAGAGCTGCTGAGATCCCTGCCCCACCTCTTCACCCCATCGCCACAGTCACCTGCCATCTGACATCCTCAGGGGACCGGGGAAGGAAAGCTGGGGTGATGCCCGCAAAGAGGAAATTCCCTGGTGCTAATTGGCACTGAGAGACCTTTAGGCTAATTAACCTGTTCATTTGCCTCTCTAGAGTAAATTAGAGGGTTTAACTGCGGAGACCAAAAGAGAGATGTTTGCTGGTGGCCACCTCCTCAGGGGCAACGGGAGGCTTTGTAGTGGGCACAGTGGGCTGCTGAAGAGGCTTGGCAGCGTGACTGACTGCCAGGCGGTAGTCACAGGTGGCCCTTGTGTGGCAGGGAAGAGAGCTCCCTTTTGTTCCCTTCTCATTGCTGTGAATTGGGAAGGCTGCTCTGACAGCCCAGGGCTCTCTGGGTGCTGTCTGTGCCTGGTTCTGGATTCTCCAGAAGGAGAGGGCTAGGTCCCTCTTATTGGGGTGCCCTCCCACTGTGCCGCTAGCATCTGCCCCCCATGGTTTCGTTATAAGATGCCCCATCCCCACGGGTTCATGCACTGAGCATTCAGTTCCCTGCTAGTAACACTGTTTTAGGGAGATTTTGGAACCTTTTGGGGGGGGGTGAAGCCTAGCTGGAAGAATTGGGTCAGTGGGGGCATGCCTTAAAATTTATAGCCCGCCATCCCCATTTCTGTCCAATGTGTGCTTTCTGTTCTGCAGACACACGAGTTGGTAAGGGGTCCAATCTTTGTGCTTCCACCACTACGGAGCCATATGTGGCTGTGCCTTCCCTGCCACGAATGACTGTCCCTTCAGGGTTCATGTCACTAGTGTGTTCAGTCAGAGCAGTGAGAATAGAAACCAGCACAGTCCTGCCCCAGGGATGCCAAAAACCCCTTGGCCAGAGTCCTGCCATTTTCAGATGGGGACACAGATCTTTGGGGGACAGGAGATACTGTTTTACACCCTGAATTTTCTATCTTAGGCTCTGTTTCAGGCTCCAGCAGCTTTGGCATGGTGTGGGTGGGAAAGGAAGCCCGGTGTTTCCCCACCACTCTGGAGGGAATTTGGTTGGTTTCCCTTTACCTATGACAAAATAACTTGAGAAAATTGATATGGGAAATGTCCTTCTGTATATGTGTTGCTCTTATTGGTTGATGAATAAAGATGTTTCAGCCAATGGCTTAGCAGAGTAAAGCCAGGCAGGAAATCTGAACAGAAAGAGAGAGAGAGAGAGAGAGAGAGAGAGAGAAGGTGGAGTCAAGGAGATGCTAAGTGGCCACTGAAGGAGAAAGATCCCAGAACATTACCAGTAAGCACAGCCTTGTGCCAATACATAGATGAATAGAAACGCGTTACTTTAAGATGTAAGAGCTAGCTAGGAATATGCCTGAGCCCTTGTAATTAATATAGTTTCTGTGTGATTATTCGGGTCTGGTCAGCCAGAAAACGAAAACGCAGTCTCCAGTTACAGAAAATCACTGTAAAGGAGGGAAGATTTGCTTTGGCTCACGGTTTCCTAGGCTTCAGTCTATGTCCACATGGCTTCACGGCAGAGCGTCTTAAAATACCTGGGGCAGAGCAGCACTGCCAACCTTATGGGTAGGTTGGGGCAAGGTGAGACAGAGAAAAGGGGCAAGGGTGGGGAGAGAAAGAGGGAGAGGGAAGGAGGGGAAGGGGTGGTGGTTGGGAGCAAGGCATAGTTTTCAAAGGTTCAACCCTAGTGACCTACTGCTAATAGATCCCATTTCCTATTAGCTCATTCAGCTATGTAGTAATCATGGATTAGACCATTGATGAGGCTAATTACTGAAGTAAATGCCGTCGTGAGCCAATCACCTCTCAGCTGAGGCACTTAACGGGGACCAAGTCTTTAACCTGTGAACCTTTCGAGGTAGTTTATGTCCAAACCTATCGGGGGTCTTGAGTACCAGCCTCAGTACCCCCCTCAGGGCTCAGAATTGGATGTCTATGGCAGGTGAGGATCCGAGGGTAAGACATTAACTCAAGTACATGACCTCTGCATCTTCTTTATTTTTTCATGCAAGAGGAAGAAACGAAGTGAAGGGGGCATGGAGGAGAGGAAGAATAAGAAGACGAGTCAGGGGAAGAATTAGGAGAAGAAGGAAGGAGGGAAAGAGGAAGAAGTAGAAGTAGCGAGGAGGAGGATAAGAAGAGTAAGGGCTGATCTCCATGAGGTTTCTAGTTTTTACAGGCATAGTTGGAAAATTTCATAGGCAAGGACAATGATAATATGCCTATCAAAATCACAAAAAGGGGCAGGTAGAACCTGACAAAGCTGTGCTCTGGAACGGGTGGCCTGGCCCAGGGAAAGGACAGCATTCAAGAGGAAGTACCTGACATCCCAAACCATTAGATAAAGTTACTAAACATCCGAATTCTGGATTCACCCTTTCTCCTCATCTAATCTCCCTGGTGATAACCAGCTTTGGGGGACACCCAGAATTGTTTGTTAGCAAAGGTGGGGCACGCTGCCTTCCTGCTCAGTGCCTGTCTTCTATAGAAATTTCTATGTGGTCTGTTAGCAGGTAATTTTGTGGGACTGACTCTGTGTAAATTTGACTGTTAGAACAAAGAGTAAATGCCATTGCCCTAAAGCCTCGTGGTATGGGGGAATGGAGCAAGGTCACTCCGTTGCCTGTGTAGAAGTCACACTGCTGAGGTGTTTCGGGAACAAATCCCATTTCGAAGGGAAGAATCATGGCTTCACAAGGTTTTTTACCGATATGACAGTGACTTTTCCAAAAGACAGGCGTTCTTGCAGCTCTGTGAAACGGGTTGCTCCATGCGGACGTGGACATATACACTTCGGTGGATCTGTCTGTTGGTCATCTGTGCATCACTGTATTGTCTTGTGGGCTCCAACACAAACCACAATAGAATGGAAGACAGAGGGTCTCTCTCTGTAAGCCTGGACCTGCAGCAGTGAGATGCAGCCTCTCGGGCTTCTGTGCACGGGCAACCAAAGGCATCCATCTTCGGTCACTTCCAGGGCCTCCCGTCTCCAGACACATGAACTCTTTCCTGCCCACTCCTCGGATCAGTCCCCTCACTTAGGCAGGCCAATTGGGGAAAGTACCCTTTAACGAATGCCCTTTCCTGTTCTGCAGGTGCCCGGGGCATCGTCAACAGTGGCCTGATCCCGTCACTAGTACAGAAGCTGCAGGTAGAGGAGGAACACATTCAGGAGATCATCTTGGACACTCTGGCACCATGCCTTCAGGAGGATGCCACTGAGGCTCTAAAAAGCCAAGCTGTGCTCCGCTTTAAGGAGAAGCTCCTTAGTGGCAACCCCCAAATCCGCAGCAAGGCTGCTCGGGCGCTCATTGCCATCAGGTGAGGTCTGTTGTGTGTTGACAGAGTGGTCACTTCCTTGAGTCTTTGCTGAGGGTCAAAGTAGCAAACTACTCCTGGCCTCTCTGTAGATCAGCAGTGGGGCTTCACCTAGCCGCATCTGCCAGGGAACCCAAGTGCATCCACCCAGGCATCCTCCCTCTAATTTCCTTGTGCCCCGGGGGAAGAGGACACTGGGTCAGAAGAGTACCTTTTCCATTAGTGTGGCCATGATGCCTGAGATTGGCCTATATCCCAGGAAACTCTCTCGCGTTCCCATCCTGGACAAAGCTAGCTACTTGGTCACTTCTCCATGAGGAAGACAAGCCGACAAACTCCAGAGATCATGAAGATAGCCAGTGGTCATTACGTATGCAAGTCTGTCAGGCACCGCCTAGAAAGTCAATGGCGGCTAGACAACTTCCAAGAAAGGAGATGTCTGGCTTTGGAGAGGAGAAAACAGAAGCACGTGTCCAGCCACTTGCTCGAGGTCACATAGCATCACAGTCTAAATCCTGGCCTGGAAACGGGGGAAGCACAGAACCTCCCCACAATTAGCCCTGTGCTTCTGGAGACCCCTTTGTCTGTGCCCATCTGCCCTCAGCTTGAGAGGGAGGGAAGGCCTTGCCATTCCTTAAGTCCCGGCTTTCCTTCTATCTGGGAGTCCTGCTAGAGGGCCAGGGTAACATCTCTGGTGGGCCTGCCCCAGCCCCTGGGATGCTAGTTTGGAATGCTCACTATTATGCATATTTACCCGCTGTCAGGTCTTTGGTCAGACATCCCCAGCCAATGAAGCTCTGACAACAGAACTTCATCAAAGGGCAGCTTCTGCCCCGTCCCTCTGACCTCTCCCATCAGCCTGTGTTCATTACCACCCCTTACTAATGTGTGTCTCTCACGCAGTGGGTTTGTTCTCTTTGTTGCTGTAGACGAAGGGCTAGATTATAGGCTCCCAAATGTCACGTGCTGAGGCAGATAAATTCAGCTTTTACCTCCGCACCTGGACTAGTACCTGCCTTGTGTCACTGAGTAAATGAGCCCAGGGCAGTCCTGCAGGTACACCCAGGACTCTTTGTCCTTGATAAATTGCCCCAGGGTCGATAAAGACTTATGGCCAATAGCGTTGCAGTATCACAGAGAAGTGGCTGCGGGGATCTGTTTCCTAAACAGCCTAGCCATAAAACACCTGTGTCTTTGAGGCGTCCAGAGTTCCACAAAAACGGGAGTTCTGTAGGCAGGGAAGCGCCGAAACGGTGAGCAAACGGTCAGGTTGAAGGCCGTTTGTTGGGATGTTTGTGCACTGCGTGGGACATTTCCAGCCTGTGAGGAGGGCTTCCTCGCCAGGAAACGCTGGCCCTCTCATGGTTGAGAGACTCTTGGGAAGCTCACCGCCTTCATTTCCACAGCTTCATACAATGCTGGAACAGAGAGTAAGCTCAGAGTTACCTTGTCTAGGCCCGTGCCCGCGGTTGCTCGGCACTAAGCTACTCACTGATGTGTGGAGCAGCTTGCTGCTTCCCTGGTAAAGAAGCCAACTCAGGGCGAGGCAGATAGCTAGCCTTGCTGTGGGTCACACCCTTGGGTCTTACTCTTCCACGTAAAAGAACACGTCTTCACTTCTGTGCCTGGCTTAGAATGAAGCTCACTCCCCCTCCCCCTCTCCCCCTCCCCCCACCCCTCCTCTTTATCTCTTTCCCTGACAGCAAGCCACGCTCCCAGCACAAGCCCTACCTTAGCCTGCGTGCCTTACCTCCTTTCGTCTTCTCTCTGCCTTAGCATCCCTTTGGAGGGCAAGAACCAGGTGTGGGAAAACCAAGTCATTCCTATCCTGGTGGGTCTGCTGTCGGACACTGAGGAAGAGGTACAGGCTAATGCGGCTGGGGCCCTGATGCATGCGACAGTGACCACTGAAGGTGAGGCAAGGGTGTGCCCTTTGGATTCCCGAGGCCGGGTGGGTGTGGGCAGGAGGGGAGAGTAAGGCCCCCTAGCCTTGTCAGCATCTGTAGTGAGCTTCCCAAATGCTTCTTTCTCATGTCAAGGGCCAAAGTATTGACCCCCGAGACCTCTAGGCGCCATCAAAATCCACTCTCTGGCCTATCGCCGAGGAGCTTTTGGAGTCTGGCCCAAGGTTTAGACCTCTCTCATCTTCTTGGACTCTGGGCTGCCAGTGATCTCTCACAGTCGCTCGTGTTCGAACCTATGCCCCTCTACAGCAAGTCATTCCTCTGACCTAAAGACCTCGCCTCGGACTCAGGTCTCTTTGAACCATGAGATTGATTAATTTGGTGTCTACAGTTCTGTTATTCCTGGGGTCATTCAGATCCTGTAGCCCTTGACCTTACGTGTTTCTTTGAAAAATAATTTTGCTACTTTCAGTTGTGTGTGTGTGTGTGTAATCATATATCCTCACTAAGGGAATTCTGACTGCGTGTGGATCAGGGCACCCCACATGTCTTCACATTGTGGGTACCTCAGCCCAAGCTTATATGAGAGAGCTTGAAAGGCCGGGGACCCTTCATGCCTTGGCCAATGGCTAGAGACACAAAGGCCAGGACCTAGGGATATAGCACCTTTTCCCAGCTGGGTCTCTGAGCCCCTAGCCCCATATCAGGCCCTGAGCTGGATGATGGGGTATAGAGGTCTTGGCCTTGGGTGTTTACAGTTGTCTGAAGAGGCAGAATAATGGAAGGTATAGAGAAGCCAACATTCAGGAGTACAGGACATAGGGCAGGTGTCCAGCATCCTCTGAGAGCTGCTGGAGGGCCCCACCGCTAAGCTGCACCTCTGACTACCATGGATGTTGTGAGCCAGGTGCAGAACAGTTGCTCAAGAAACGCCTGACGCATGAACATATGATTGATTCTTTTCCTTTAACAATACCGTGTATTTTGTCTTATGGAGGCTGATTGCAGGACAGGACGGGGTAGGGTGATATAACTAGGCTGATTAGGGAACTGAACAGGCAGAGGAGGAAAAGGAGAGCCTAGGTTGGACTCAGTGGAACAGTGCGGCAAAGATGGGGGTTCGAGAAGCAGGTGGGCACAGGTGGTATTGCTCTTAAGGTACCCCAGGTAGAAGGTCATGGGGAGATAGCTTCCCTTGTGCAGAGGATCGGGAAACTCAGTGTCTTGTGGCCCACAGGGAAATACGCAGCCCTGGACGCAGACGCCATCACACCACTCCTGGAGCTGCTTTGTTCCACGTCCATGGTCAAGGTGTGTCTGAACGCCACCAAAGCCCTCACCATGCTGGCCGAGGCCCCCGAGGGCCGCATGTTACTGCAGGTCCATGTGCCCACCTTCCGTCTCCTCCAGATGCATAGAAATGAGGCCATAAAACGAGCAGCCCAAATAGCCATCAAAGTGATTGAGTGGAAGCCATGATTTCCTTATGGGCCAAACCCGATAGGCGTTTCTAGGCCTGAATAAATGAGTTGAATCTTCTATGCTAATGTCATTTTATGTTCCTGGAGCAATGTCACAACTCTCTCCTGGCAAAGAAGAAACACTAGACCCCAAAAGGGCCTGGTTCTGGGATGCACAGGTCCATCCCATGGTGTCAAGTAGGAGGAAGTAGCCCCAATACAAATATTTTTCTGCTTGGATCCAAAGTCCTTATAGAAGGCAGATATCAGAGCAGAGTCCTCCAGGGATAGGGGCGGGAGGCGGGGAGTTGGATTGGGGGTTAGAGGGTATACAGTTGGACCAGGCACCAGCCAAACTTTGTATACATTTGACTGATCAGTACCTTGGGGGTACAGCTCAGCATGGCTTTGCTAAGCACTTCCACTATGCTTTTCAATATAGACAGACCAAGGTACCCCATTAATATATGCTCATCTAGTTGTGCGTGAACGGTCAGTTTGTGGATGCCCTGGCTTACAAACGAACTCGTGCGTCCAGCCTCTGTTGGAGGAGCGACAGGCACAGAGCAGGATTTCATGGCTGAGTCTCTGGTCTGCAACTGAGCTGGTTAAACTGGACCCTCGTCTTTGCCCAAGAGCCTGTTACAGCTCCTACCTTGCCAGTGAGAAGTGATTTGGAGAGGACTGCCGAGAGTAAATATTATCAAAACCAGAATCCCAAGAACCCGAGTCAGCCTTTCTTCCCCCACTGTCCTTTCAAGGAGCCTCAGGGACCTTCCTGGTTATCAAGAGAAACACAGAGACGTGTGTATCCTGGAATTAAAGGATCAACTTAAGTCGTCCGTTTTGTGCCGAAGGGGACTGGCTGCTGGACCCAAGTGGCATTTCAGGTGCCGTCCTTATTTTCAAAACCAGAGTGCACCAAAGGAAACTAATCTTCCTCAGGAGAGGGGGGGAGGGGGCCTAGGGCCTCCACGGTCTCACGTTCTGATCCTGCAGGGCAAGCTGACCCTGCTCCTGCCACGGGGTCCAGCCAAGGCCAGCAACACCCTCCCTGCTACCAGGACCCTGTGCGTTTGATCTCTATCCTGGAACCCTCTTTTGTGGACTTGGTCCCACAGGTTGGTTCAGGTGTAGACCATCCCCGCCCCCATAACCCCACCTATGTCACTGTGGGCCCTTCTCCCCCATCCTTTTCTAGCTGGGCATGACTTTCTGTTTTCTCTGCCCCAAACAGCGTCTCTAGCCCCAGTCTGTTTTAAGGGTTGGCCCTTTATGGTCTAAACAGAAAACCGACCCTTAAATGTCTCCAGGCAACGATGAACACAGTTCTTCAGAAAATGTTTCAAAGAATAGAAAAGGAAAGAGCATTTTTTAAACGTAATTTTTAAAAAAATTATTCTTTGGGAATTTGATATTGTGTACCCCAATCCCACCCATTTCCCAGTCCACGTCCTACCTCCACCCTTGTAGCCCCCCATCCCCCCAAAAGAAAAGACATTTTGTTCCTCCATCTTTGCCGCCTCTCCATCATATTTTCTTCTGTTGTAGCGGCCCTGGGAACTGCGGTGTGTCACACAGTATAACCTTTCGCCCACACAGTTTTCCTTGCAAATGTTCATTGCAGCGAGTTGTCGATTTGGTCCAAGGCCTCTCTGGCTTCTGGTCACCATCAAGACTGGACCTTCTCCCGAAACTTGTGCTGTTGCCCTGAGTCATGGAGGTCCTACAGCTCAGCTCTGGTTCTCAGGACCAGTTCTTTCCCACTCTCCAGTAGGTCATAGGTGGGGTAGATGTTGGGGTGGGACAACTCAAAGCCATGGATGGCAGCTGAGTTGGTCATATCTGGCTTTCACTGGGACTGCCCCCCCCAGGCCAAGTTCAGGGCCAGCTCTCCGCCTGCCCCCACCCCCGGGAAAAGTTCAGGGCTGGCTCTTCTGCGCCTGTGCCATTGGGTCCAGTTCTCCCAGGAGGGGTGCAGCTCTCCTGCTGAGGTAACCAGTGAGGGGTAGGGCCAGTTCTCCAGTGCTCAGGCCAGCTCTCCCATGGCCCCTGGTGGTAACAAGGGCTGCGGACATGGACACAGATCCTAGATGCAGCAGGACCATCGACCCAGAAGTGGTCCTCAGCAACAGTCCAAGTCCAGACATCACCATGGCCTCAGGTGGCAGCCCAGACCCTCAGATCAGTATGGCCCCTGGCAGCAGCATGGCTTTTAGACATCAACATGGCCTCAGGTGGGGACCCAGACCATGGATATCCACCTGGCCTTGGGTGGTAACACGGGCCCTGGACATCAACACAGGCTCTGGCGGCTATAGGGCCACAGACCCAGACATGGTCCTCAACAGCAGCACAGGCCAGAACGTCACATGGCCGCAGGTGGCAGCGTAGGCCACCCAAGTCAGCCTGTTCCTCATCGTGCTTCCGTCTTCAGCTCCACATCTCTGCACAGCGCAGGAACCACTCGCCTCTCTGTCTCTCCCCTTTCTCGACCAACGCACCTATTCATCGTCTTCCTGCCTGTGTGCCCCCTCCTGTCTTCCTGCCCACCTGTTGGAAGGAGCATTTTTTTAAACTCCTGTGACGATGCTTGCTACTTGTCCTTACACCACAGGGAGATTACAACAAGGACCGACTTGCCTTCTGTTTTGTTTTGTTTTGTTTTGTTTTTCGAGACAGGGTTTCTCTGTGATTTTGGAGCCTGTCCTGGAACTAGCTCTTATAGACCAGGCTGGTCTCGAACTCACAGAGATCCACCTGTCTCTGCCTCCCGAGTGCTGGGATTAAAGGCGTGCGCCACCACCGCCCAGCCCGACTTGCCTTCTGAACAGAAGGGCAGCAAGCAATTAGCGGACACATGTAGCAACATAGTAAAAGTGTTACACATCAGGACCAGCCAGGATTTAAATATCCCAGGAAAGGACATGAAAAAAAACCCATCAAGGTACAAGAGTCAGAAAGATCATTCCACAAAATCCAACATCTATTTGTGGGTTTAAAACAAAACAAAAACTGTTAGGATCCCTAACTTAGGAATCTCAGAATAGAGGAAAATCTCCTCTACATAATAAAGAACACCTGCAAAAGTTCAAGTCGGCATCATATTAATGATTATATTAATTATTTCTTGAGATAAGGAACAAGACAAGAACCTCTGTTTTGGCCACTTTGGTTCAGTGTTGTCCTGAAGGTTCTAGTCAGGGTATATAAGCAAGAAAAAAAGGGGGGGGGGGAAGCATCCAGACTTTTTTTAAAATGAGCAAACTATTTTTATTCATCAATTATACCATAACTATAAGAAAAACACTTTAAAATTATTAGCACTAACAAGTTCATCTTCGTGGGTGGCATCAATATACAATTAATTATATTTCTGTACATTGACTATGAATAGAACAATGAAACTAAGAAATGTTTACTTACGGAAGCATCAAAGAATAAAATAAGTTAGAATAAAATATATACAGGCTAGACTTCTTTTATTTTTTTTTTTTGACACAAGTTAGAGTCATCTGAAAAGATGAACCACAATTAAGAAAATGCCCTCCCCACATTGACCCACGGGAAGGACTTTTTTTTTTTTTTTTTTAAATTGATTGATGTGGGAGGATCCAGCTACAGGGAGCAATTCTACCCCGAGGCTGGTGGTCCTGGATGACATCAGAAATCAGGCTAAGTAAGTCATAAGAAGTAAGCAGCGTTCTTCTATGGCCTCTGAGTCAATTCCTGCCTTCAGGTTCCAGCTCTGAGTTCCTGCCATTTTTCCCTCTGGATCGGAACTACAAGCTGCAAACTGAAATAAACCCTTTCCCTCCCAAACTGCTTCTGTCATGGTGTTTTTATCATAGCAATTGAAACCCTAGAAGAAAGCCCAGTAAAAGAAATACAAGACATAGGCACAGAAAATTAAGTGTAGTTTAAAAGACCTTAAACACCTAAGTAAATGGAAGGACATTCCATGTTTGTAGATCAGAGACTCGATGCTGTCCTGGGGTCTAGAAACACCTAGGAGGAATCCTCCAGGCACACCTATGAAGGACCATCTAGAGTAGGTCAACTTCTGGGCATGCCTGTGAGGGACTATCGTGATTGGTTAACTGAGTTGGATAGAGCCACTTTTAAAGAGTGTTTGGTACCATTTCCTGAGCTGGGGTCCCGTGTTGAATAAAAGGAGAAACCTGGCTGATGGTGGACATTGGTCACTCTGCTTCTTGACTGTGGATGCAGTGTGATCAGCTATCCACAAGCTCTTTTCACCCCGGCTTTCAGGCTATGGTGAAACTGTAACCTTGAATTGCAAGCCCAAATAGACTTTTCCTGAAGCTGTTTTTATTGGGCATCTCATCCCTGCAACAGGGAAGGTAACTAAGACCCCCTCCACTCCAAAGTTCTCTTTGCCTCCTTTCCAGTCTCCCAGAGGGCGTTCCTGCTTTTCTTTCAACTCCCCAGCAGCAACCAGCAGATAGGATCTTATCAAGTCTAACTCTAGAGGATTTAGGATTCCAAAGCAAACAAGACCTCTGGCTGGGTTTCAAAATCTCTACCGCCCATTGTCTTTGGGCGTCCTCAAATATGCCTTTCATTCTGGCCTCAGGCCTCCCACTATCTCTCATCAACCAAACAACTCCTCCTTCCAGGACTCTGGATCTAGGTGGGAAACCCTGCTGGGCATTCCTGTGGTGTGCAGGATTCCTAGTGTGTAAACCTGTGGGATTCTGCCGGCCTCCAGTCGACTAGGTTCCTTTGCTGGAGCCTCATTGCCTCCTCCTGCCGTGTGCAGTTAAGCAGATCCTCCGCAAGGCTGTTGTTCTACGTCTTGAAAGGGAAAAGGCGCCTAGGACAGGCATGCCGACAACATATGCAACAGAAGCTATAGCCACGATGGTTGTCTCCTCTCTGCATAAGGCCCCAGAGCTTATATTCCCATATGCTCTGTTTGTAGCTATTTCTGTGGGTGCACAACACAGTGGGGGGGGGGGAGGGGGACACAGTAACTACCCAGAACTATCAGCTGGAGATTTAAGGAAAGAAGGAGAAACTGGCTCCTTGAGCGTGTTTTGATTTGCATGATGCTGG